GTGAATTAATTCTAAAAAGAAAAAAAAAAAAAAAAAAAAAAAATGTGCCAGGAAGAAAATATTTATAAAGAATTAGTATCCACAGTATATAAAGAACTGCTAGCAAATCAAAATAACAAATAACTTACTAGAAAAATGTGCAAAAAGAATGGACATTTTATAGAAGAGAAAATCCAAATGGCCAAAAGATACACATATAGATGCTCTATCTTAGAAGCACGGAAATGCAAGTTAAAACATCCAAGAGATTTCTACCCTTTGATTGGGAAGTGGGGGACTGATAACACTGAGTCTTGACAAGCATGTGAAGGAAACAGGAACTCAGATCCAGCTGCAGAGAGAGGAAATGGGTAGCACCCCCCTTTAAAGAGTAAATTGGCAGTTCCCATTTCAATTAAAAACATGCCTACCAAGCCCTGACAATTTCACCTCTAGCTACCTTCCTTAGAGACTCCCTTGGGAGTGTGCATAAAGATGAAATCCACACTCACCATTGTATCATGAAAAAGTGAAAGCAACTAACCAGATAAATATGGATAACCACACACGGACTCCTACATAGCAGCAAGCAGGACTGAGGTGGTCCACAGCACTGACATAGAAGATCTCCAACAGCAAACCACATTGATATCACAGTAAGGTAATCCCCATTACTCCAGACCCAGATGATGTGAGCAAGACCACAGTAACAGCAGCTAATACTTGGGCAGGGCTTATTCTGTACCAGGAGCTACTCTGAGTTCTTTGTACATCTGCTTATTTCCCTCTCGCATCCTGTGTGGTGGGTGCTATTAGTCTCAGTTCCATTGTACAGACAAGACGTCTGAGGCATGAGGCTATACAGAAGAATACGCAAGGGTATACAGAAGGAAGTAAAAGGGCCATGCTTGAACCCCAACAGCCTGGCCCAGAGCTGTGCTCTGAGCCACAGCTGTTTACAGGTCCTAAGAGCACATACATATGCACAGAGAAAAGAATCTGGGAGAAGAAACTCCAACATGATGAAAGTCAAAGGGGATGTTTTCTTAACCAATGGCTTTCATTTTCTCTGGAGAACATATTCATGTAATTAAAAACTAAATACAGCTTAGAAAGACTCTACAGAGACTAATGCTGGTTGGTTGAGGGAGACTGTTTTTTCTGGCTCCACCTGTCCACTCAGCTGGAATTCCTATGTCAAGATAAGCCTCTGCTATCAGGACACAGCCTCTGTCAGGGACCAGGTAAGCATGGGTGCTGGGGAAGCTCCCAGGTTATCTCAGCCTCCCCCAGGAGGGCACGGGCCTGGGTCTAAGTTGATCCAGGAGCTAGCTGTACCCAGGAGCAGGTAGGGTAAACTTCTGGGACAGAGTTCAGAATGGGCTCAGCAGGACATGACCTTCCCTGTCCAGTGTGCTACTCTAGGCAAAGTTCACATAGTGGCAGGGCGGACTCTTACATGCAGCAGGCTGTGGGCAGATGGGAGTCTCAGGAGAGAGCACCCCTGGCAGTTCAAGGCTCTTAGTTCTTAGTTGAGAGAGGACCAATGACCCACAGCCCCTAAATGCCCCTATTCCCACCCTCTGGAACAAGTCTCTTTGTATCTCCTGGATACTACTTCCATTTGCACCAGGGATGGCTCAAAAGTGCCCATAAGACTTCCCCAACCTAGGAAATGAGGAAGCAGGGAAGTGTAGGTCACATCCTCAACCCTGGAGGAGCTAGCACCATATGGCATCCAGTGACCCCAAATCTTAAAGGCCCATAGAGGGAAATGATATAAAATCTGAGGTTTAATAACCAGGGCATGCCAACATCCCCTCTATGGCGGTGCCTAGCCCCCCCTCCCATGTTTGTTATTTTTGGCAGTGCTATGTACGTGTCTCTCTCCTTAGATCTGCTCTCAGGACTGCTCCCATAGCACCTTTTTTAAGAACCCATTAGCATGTTATCGGCCACTCAACAGGACCCAGTTCATACACCTCCCAAAGGGTGTCAAGGCTGGCTGAGACTTCTGCTAGCCCAGGTTTATGTTTCCTCCTTCCCCCAACATGCGCCTCCAAGTCCAGCCTGCACCTGCCCCTGGAGCTCTTGTTCAGACAGACTGCATCACGCCCTTGCACAAAGATCTTTTCACCTATCATCACCCAGAGAAAAAGAATTTAAAACCTTGGAGTCTGACGTTCATAGCCAGGCATGGCATTACACACTGCAGCAGCCTTTACATAAAGTTTCCTGAGCACCTACTGTGTGCTGGTCACTGTTCTAGATACCAAAAGGGACCCAAACTTGTGTTGCTTTAGCACAGAAAAGCCCCCTCATTCTGCCTCTGCTCAGCCTGTTACTGTCTGCTCACCCAACACTGCTCACCAGGCTCCAATCTCCCCTACAAATAGCACTAGCTAAGCTAGGCACTGCTGTAGGGCCACACTCACAAGTGCTCACAAAGACACTGGAGCATAAGAAGGCCCTGAAAGAGGTCCCTTGGGTGTCACTGCTCCACCCTACTCCTCCCTACAGGGCTGGAAGGCACTCACTTGTTAAAGAGGTTGAGGCCAATGCGATAGTGCCTTTTACGGATGATATCGTTGCTGAAGGCAGGTGAGTCCCAGCTGTTGCGAGTCTCCTTGTGGTAGGTCTGCTTGCTGAGCGTCTGTTCCCGCAGGCTGTCGCGGGATGACGACTCAGAGCTGCAATTGATGGTGTCATTAGAGTTGGATGTGCTGTTGATGCTGTCATTGTCCCCATCTGAGTAGTCTGACTCAGACTTGCTCTGCCTGTTGGCTGAGCCATTGATGGCCAGGTGGCTGTCAAGGGGCCTAGGGGGCCGAGGCCGCAACTCTGGCTCCTCCCGAGTGAGGCCCTTGGGAGGGCCACTGTGGGGACCATGCTTGGGGCTGCCCTGCTGCCCACTGAGGTTGCGCTCGTAGGCACTCTGCCTCTTGAGTGAGCTGCGGTCTGAGCGGTCACTGAGGTCCACAGAGCTGTCACTGGGTGGTTCGATGGTGAGCAATGGGAGGTGCTCCACCCGTAGCCGATGTTCCTGCCGCTCAAGTGATGGTGTGCTCTGACAGCTCGTGTCCGTGTCCCCCTTGTCATCCTTGTGAGCCAAGGCCCAGTAGTCCTGGGTGGCACCTCCAGCCCGCTGCCGTAGGTCTAACTCGGTGCTGGATGGCCGGTGCCCCATCTGTGAGAGGGGCAGTGGTGGCGACAGTTCCTCTTCATCGATGTACAGGGTGACATCACTGTACGAGGCTGTCATTTCATCCAATTTGTGGTGGTCCACGGCATGCAGAGCCGCCTGGGGCTCAATGTCCCGGGCTCGCCCTGTGTCAGAGGTTGGCGCCTCCTCGGCATGCAGGCTGCGGCAATTGAGGGCATCGTCGATAGACTCAGCCAGTGATTTCACCTGCCGGGAGAAGGCGTCCTCCAGCTCTGTGATGGCATCCGTGAAGTCGCTGGATGGGGCTGAAGACTTGAGGGCAGGCAATTCACCAAGGTCACTGCACTCAGATGGCACCAGGGCCCCCAACTGAGAGCCATCATCAGTCACTGAGACCTGCTTTCCCTCAAAGTAGGAGCTATGCATCTTTTCGGGCCCCTCAAAGGAGAACTGCATCCTCATGTTGGACAGCACAATCCGGCGTGACATGCGGTTTTCTGACATGGAGCTGCGCAAGCGCTCAAAGTTTTTGTTCATCTGGTACTGGCGGAAGGCTGTCTGGATGGTGCGGGCCGCATGGCGGGTCACCAGGCGTCCCCCATACTTCCTTTCTAGCATCTCCACCTGGAGAAGGAAGGAAGAGGAAAGTGAAGACATCTCCTTGTGCTGGTGCAGCACAACACCGACCAGCAACGGTCATTCCCATTTCCCAGTCCCGGAGCAGCATGATCTGGGAAGGCACATCCCCAAGCTGATTAAAACAACCATTGGGGCATGCTGATGAGGTGCTGGAAAATCTGGGATCCAAGGTCAAATAAGACGGAGAAACACCATGTTAAACTTAAAGCAAATAAGTTTCCTGAAGGACTTCTTAGAATCTTTAAAAGGTGGTAGTTTCCAAAACTTCTTTGGCCACAGAAGCCTTGGCCCTCCCACATCTTGTGGCTTGCAGTTTAACAAAACTTGGAGAAGTTGGAAGAGGTGAAGGCAGCCCTTCCAGAGACAAGAAAGCTGAGGCATGTGCAGATTAAAAGACTTATTAAAGATATGAACAAGGTTCTGGGCACTGAGCATCAGCCATAGGCTTCCAGCCTTGCTTCATTTCCATTGCCAAGCTGAGTAGGCTTCAAGGACAGACGCCTGGGTTTTAAACCTGGCCCTACTCAGAGGATTGTCATTACTTGATGAGATGATGCAAGCGCTCAGCACATACTAAATCCAAGGACAACTGGGGCTACAAGATCCTCAACTGCATTCCTAGAACGTGTTGCCAGTTTATGGGGTCCCCAAGTCCTCTCACAATATAGATGGGGAAACTAAGGCCCAGAGAAGACACCTAACACATACGCAAAAGCCTCTAGACTTGGGAGTTTAAAGATGGGGAAGGGCCGCAGGCAGGCAAGAGGGACTGGGACTCCCCAGCATGACACATGAGCTTCCTAAAGTCCTGAGGACTGCTCCCCATGCCTCAGTCCTGAGTGAGAAACATACTCCTGGAGCTGGAGTCAGGTCGGTTGGAATCCAAGAAAAAGAATGGCTTCTCTCAGGGGGCTTGGCAGAGCAGGCACCTAATGTGGGACCAAGAGAGCTCTCAAGTCATCAGGAGCAAGTCACACTGCTCAGGGAGGCAAAGTACCCCACCCTGTTCATCTAGGTCCTACCTGCTCCATGCTAGGCATCACACCAAAACTGGCAGACGAGAGAGACAAGGTCCCTGCACTCAAAAAGCAAAAAGTCTATGAAGGAGAATAGACAGACACACACATTATTGAAATAAAACCAAACAGATGCTGAAGTCAGGGGAGAGGGTTGCTCAGAGCCACTGTGGGGGCTGAGAAGGAAGGGCTCGAAGCCTCACAGGTCCAAGTGTGGATCCTGGTCCCCTTGCTTGCCAGTTGGTGGCCTGTTCACCTCTCTGGAAAGTAAGAGTGTGCCCAGCTCCATAAGGCCACCCATCTCAGGGATGCCAGCTCCCCCCTGAACACCAGGCATGCCAGCTTTCTGGGGCCCAAAGGAGGAGTGGCAGGCAGGGCAGAACTGCTATAGGGGAGGGGAGTGGGGGGAGGGGGTACATGTGGACCAAAATGATTTTTCAAAGCCTGGCCAGGGCCATAGTCAGCCAGCATGGGTCTGTTTTTTTTCCTCACCCTGAAGTTACTGAACACCATCCAAAGAAATGACTTCACTTCCGCATCTACAAGCAGAGTTTCTGTTTTGGGGATTTTGAGTAGAGCTTTGAAAGCCCATAGGGTCAATAAAAGGCCTAAGGCTGAGCTCTGGCAAGCCCTCTCTTCTCTGCCCTCCCAGGCTTATGGTCCTGGGCACCTTATGTTAGCCTTGATGCTAGGGCTACCAGATCAGGTCCAGAACTCACACCAGGGCCATTTTCTCCTGTTAATTTTGGACCTCGCAAGCCAGGCAGCAATCCTGTTTGCCTGAGACTGGTTCCAAAAGGCACTTTGGGAAGGCAGAAATGGGCTCTGTGTTTCATCATCAAAGCCCCTCTCGGTCCTTCCTACCTTACCTCCCCCAGAAGACACACATTGACCCAGGCCTGCTCTTACTCATCTCCCGGACTCACCATAGTCATTCTTCCCTTTAGGTCAGAACTCAGCCAAGGCCTGGTCTGAAAGTTTATTGGGGCACAGGGGAGAGAATGCAATCAGTATGTGCCCATCTGATATGCATTATCCTCACTTGATACTCCAGTATGCAGAGGGGCTCTAGAATCCACGCTAGCCAGAAGAGGCTCAGAGAAATGGTTTGACGAGGAGCCAATCCCTAACTGAGGCTGTCTCACCAAGCCCTCACTCTCCCCTTAGAGGGGCACTTCTCAACAGTGGAGATGAAGAGCTGAGAGGAACAC